ATAAATTCACAACTTACCTTCGCCCACTCGAAGATAACAGCCGCTGGAGGAGACGGGATTTCTGGGCCAACATTATCTAAGATGACATCAGCCATTAAGCAGTTGACCTTTATTGCTCCTTGAGTAATCATATTTGGCGCAGCGTTATCATAAATGTATGATCTCTGTTATCATTATTATTATTGCTATTATCATTATGATTATTATTAGGATTGTATTCTTTTATTATTATTATTACTATTGCTATTATTAGTAGTATCATAATAATTATTATCATTATTACTACTGCTATACTATTATTATTAGCATTATCATAATGATAATGATTATTATTACTACTACTGCTATTGTTATGATAATTATTATCATTATTATTATAATTATTGTTATTCTTATTATCGTTATTATAATAGCAACCTGAATTATCATCATTGTGTTCCATATTATCATGGTCATTATGTAATATTATCATTATTATCATTACCATCACTGTACTTCGTTTTGTTGTTAACATCAATATAAATATCATATTCACTGTATCCATTACTGTCGTAATTATCAACACTTTGGTTGTTATTATCAATATTATTATATCATTGTCATCACCTTTTAGTTACTGTCATCAGTGTAATGATAATTGTTGTTATATTTCTTATCACTACTGGCATCGTTATTTATAAAGCTTAGTTTTATCTTTGTTATCATTATTGTACTTATCATTGTTGTGTTGTCATTATTATTATTCACTTTGTTGTTGTCACCACTGTTATGATTATCATTATAAAATTCATCATTTACTACCATCATCAGATATTTTCTTTTTAAAAATGGAATAATCAGTTACGATTATTAACATGACTATTTTATCATTTTATTGTCGTACTGCCATCTTTATTTATAGCAATTTTGATAATCATCAGGGCTATGCAGACGATAACTATTATTTACTATTCATTACCGTGTTTATTTTCATTATTTTTGTCTTCATTATTCCCCCATATATCATTATCATTTATTTTATCATTATCATATTACTAGTATTGACAGTATTCAATTATAACGTTATTTAATTGCAAATATTACCATTACCTGTAGCTGAAATATTATTATTTGTAATAGTATTGCCCCAACTATTAGCATTTATTTTTATAATCACTGGTTGTAGCAGGAGCGATGGAGCATTAGCAGTCGTATACTAAATATACCATTGCCATCCGTATCCCCTTCTTATTCTGAGTTTTTATTTTTTTATTTTTTTTCATTTACTTTTTTTATTTTTGGTCATGTTGGTTTGGCTTTGTTATCATCGCGGTTAAGTTCAAATATTTTCCTTTTTTCGTTTTTGTTTTTTTTTTCTTCTTCTCCACTACTTGTAAATGGCCATACTGGTTTCTGCTTCGGAGCGTCATTCTGAATATAATTTTTGGAATTAGAATGATAAATTTCGTATTTAAACGTTATAGTCCTAGACCCGAATAGGTGTAGAATTTGTGAAATACCTAAGAAACAATATATATATATATATATATAGATATATGTGGTGTGTGTGTGTGTGTGTGTGTGTGTGTGTGTGTGTGTGTGTGTGTGTGTGTGTGTGTGTGTGTATGTATGTGACCCTGAGAAAAAATATAAATATATGTATATGTATACTTTTTGACTCCGTTTTTAATTCGTGATTTACGATGATAGCCACAGATTTTGTTCATAACATTTCCATTCACGTACTAAAATCCTCGATAAAACGGACTTCTAAGTTGACGAAATCCAAGCCTAGTAACTTCAGCCTATTAAACCTATATTCCCACTTTTCCCTTTTTGTCAAATACTCACATTCAGGAACAACGCAAGTCTTGAGTCCAAAACGCGAGATGTCTTAAGCACCGCTCCTCGCTGGCCACTCAATCGAAACCGAAATTTAACCTATGGGCAGTAAAAAGGGGCGTGGCTTAGCTATTGCCACTGCTTTGTCATGCTTATTTTTTTCAGATAACAGGTGTCAGAGGCTCTAAAACGTATCCCCTTGTCTACATATGGAAATATACACACGGCAGTCCTATAACAAAACGTTACAAAAAAAAATAATAATAAAATCCTTTAGTGTTTTTAACTGATCTTTACAAATTACAAATTAAATGAATGACTAGGAAGACTTCGGATGAGTCGTCATGCCTTATCTTAGCCTTGAGAGACAAGGTCCTCTGGAAATTAACACTCTGAGGCAACGCAGAAGATAAACCTTTTTACCCATTTGATTATTTCTATATTTAAACATCACTCTGCCTAAATATATGCATGTGTGTGTGTGTGTGTGTGTGTGTGCGTGTGCTTGTGTTTGTGTGTGGTGTGGCGTGTGTGTTGGTGTGTGTGTGTGTGTGTGTGTGTGTGTGTGTGTGTGGTGTGTGTGTGTGTGTGTGTGTGTGTTGTGTGTGTGTGTGTGTGTGTGTGTGTGCGTGTGTGTGTGGGCGGGGGGGGGGCGTGTCGGCGTGTGGGCGTGTGTGGGCGTGTGTGTGTGTGTGGTGTGTGTGTGTGTGTGTGTGTGTGTGTGTGTGTGTGTGTGTGTGTGTGTGTGTGTGTGTGTGTGTGCGCTTGTGTGTGTGTTGTGTGTGTTGTGTGTGTGTGTGTGTGTGTGTGTGTGTGTGTGTGTGTGTGTTGTGTGTGTGTGTGGTGTGTGTGTGTGTGGTGTGTGTGTTGTGTGTGTGTGTGTGTGTGTGTGTGTGTGTGGTGTAGTGTGTGTGTGTGTGTGTGTGTGTGTGTGTGTGTGTGTGGTGTGTGTGTGTGTGTGTGTGTGTGTGTGTGTGTGTGTGTAGTAATAGATATAGATATAGATATATATGAACACAAATACTTACTGTTTATAAATGCCTATGCACGTATATATGTATGTTTGCGTGCATGTATGACTTCAGTGTGTGCATGTGTGCCTGTAACCGTGTGTGTGCGCATGCGCGGAAGCTTGCACCCAAGTTTGTATGTGTTTATAGACAAACAATTATTTATCCATAAACTGTTATACGATGCACCCGATTCGTAAGTAGAGATTCAGACAAACAAAACATAAACAGAATGACAAATCAATCAGCTGATGGACATACTCACAGCAAACAAATTACATACTGATAAATAAACCCTTTTACACACAGGCATACAGGTGGGCAGACGACGACATAACTATTATATTTTTAGTAAAGAATTACCCTCGAAATAATCACGATTTCTGGGGACAAAAACAAATCCTCACGCAACATTGACTGACAACGTTATAATAGTATATTTAGTGTAGGTATGAAGTTTTCGGCAAGCTTTCCCTACAACTTATTGAACCTACGTCAAAAGGCGGAAATAAGTGGAACATTTACTGTACTACGTTGGTACCCTCTCAGGTGACTTTTGTTTACGAGCTTAGTTCGCATTACTGCCGCGTGAAGGCGCCCCATACACCATAGCGTTGAAACTTTCAAAGAGTTACAAGCTTTCTCTCTCTTGTTTTTACACCAACATACACCCTCTTAACTTTTATCAGATACATATGTGTATCTCAAGTCTTATTGTAATACACACATCTCTCTCTCTCTCTCTCTCTCTCTCTCTCTCTCTCTCTCTCTCTCTCTCTCTCTCTCTCTCTCTCTCTCTCTCTCTCTCTCTCTCTCTCTCTCCTCTCTCTCTCTCTCTCTCTCTCTCTCTCTCTCTCTCTCTCTCCTCTCTCTCCTCTCTCTCCTCTCTCTCTCTCCTCTCTCTCTCTCGAACAATATGCTGCCAGCCTCTTTAAATGGTTAAGAACTCTGTGTGAGCAACATCCACAGATAATCAAATGAAATTCTCTTTTCTGTCTTTCCACTTAGAGAACCATTCTTGCAGTCTATCGGCAATGGTCTAATGTCAATTCCTTTTCTCGCTGTTTCCGATGTCCTCGTTGATATTTGGTAGCCAGCATATTCTTCACTGAGTTGCAAGACTAACTGAGATTCATGACAAGTTCTCAGTGTGGTTTGCAGGCTATATCGTTTATGAAGACGGTGTTCTGTATATCTGCTTCTTGTGATCAATGATCCTCTAAAGTTGAAGAAGTGCAGATGGTCTTGTGAGTTGAGTATTGTTTGAAGCAAAAGAGACCTATCATTTCTATACACCTGTTGAAAAGTTTTTCATATTATTGAGATTTGCTATGGTGACATGATGGATATTTTGGTGATGGTCAGGGTGCTTATCGTCTGCTCTAACATCATCTCTCATCTCTTCTACTTTCTGTTCTCTCCTTTTCCCTTCCTTTCCTTTCTCTTCTCTTTTCTTCTTTTCCTCCCTTCCTCCCTAGCTCACTCGCATTCTATATATATGTATAGATATCTTTCTCTCATCCCTCCCCCCCTCTCTCAATCTACCTATCTATCTATCTCTCAGCACTAACAGAAAAGGAATAAAACTTAATTAGCTTTACATAAGTTACTCATTACTTGTAGTCCGTTTTCTTTAAAGTTACTATAAAAGAAAACGTCCTTTTATTTGTGTAACTATGATATAATGGCTACATATTTGTAATTCTCCTGTGTCGAAGCATAATATGAAATAAAGTGCTTTATGTAACGGTGTGTATGTTTTGATATCATTAACAGCCAACAAACCAGGATTATAATATATCATAGTTTTATTCTTGTTTTCAAATCTTTCTATAAAACTTTTCTTCCTCTTTTGAAATTACCTATTACAAAACAAGTTATTTTGATACCATTTACTCTGTCCTTCTGTAGACAATATCCATACACAGGAATTTAACTGCTGATGACTGCGTGTTATATCACCTTAGCAGAAAAACAAAAATATATAATAGATCTATATATCCATAGCATGTGATTTTTACATACACTTTAGTGTGTGTGTGTGTGTGTGTGTGTGTGTGTGTGTGTGTGTGTGTGTGTGTGTGTGTGTGTGTGTGTGTGTGTGTGGTCTGTGGATTACTTTCTACTTGCAGTTAAACTACGGGACAAATAAATATAATGTTTATTAATGACTGATGTATGTTGATGATCTATTAACGTACATTTCAAAATCTTTATGAATAGGTTTTAATTTCCTTAAAATGAATTCGATAGTTATCCATTACTCGACTTATAGATTTCGACAACAACAGCGCATTCCTAATGGATTCCTGCTAACGCCGATTAGAGTACCCTACGTTGGCCACGAAGCCTTCGTCTCCGTTCACGCTGTACTGGACGGTCTGCAGGCGGCCGTCGGGGAGGAGGACGAAGTACTGTCCTTCGGTGTTGTAGCCGTTGCGGGCTTCCTCGTGGCCGAAGTTGTTGCCGCTTTGGTCATCCTTCACCCCGTACTGATATTCGTACACCGCGGGAGCCTGGAAGAGGTGAGGTTTGAGATCATGAGTGCGTTCGGAGGTCAGGCGTGTGCGCGGAAAGGCTTGTTGAAAATAGAGCTCTTAAGCCCACATGAGGCGAGTTGGACTCACCTCAGGGTACGGAGGGTGGAAGGGGTCAGCAGATCGCCCCATCGCCATGGCCGCCACCGCGAGCAACAGGAGGACAGTCTGGCAAGTGAATGAAGCGAGACGAAATACTTTAGATTAAGGTCTGTCAAATGCTGCCATGCATTTACAATAACAGAATACTTAACAGATTAATAAACTTCTTTGAATGTTTAGATGCTATCCAGAGGCACATTCATGATCAACAACTTGGAGATATAATAAATATTAACAAAATGTTTTACAAGGCTCAATGCAATAATAAAAGATGAATGGAAAAAACACTCTGTACCGCGTTAGTACTATGGTAGAAAAATCCCACAATGCACAAACTAGAAATATCGAAATAAATGATAGTTTCGGAATCGTCCTCTATTCGGACGATTCCGAAACTGTTGTCTCACCTATTTCAAAAAATCTAGTTTGTACATTTGTTTTTCTTCTCTTTCTCTCTACAGTGATAAATGATATTTGACCCAAATATAAAATATCTACACACCTTGAACATGGTGAACCTTTGTGATAATTGACCGCAGGTTAAGTTACCTCAGGCTTTATACCTCCGGTCGAGGTTACGGTGAAGGGGCGGCGCCCGAATCTCCTCCCACCACCCTCTCGCCCCACGCTTCGCTAAGCGCCAGCAATTCCCGCCACGCCGTTCTTCATCCTGACCTCGTGACCTCAACCCGCGCCTCTGGTTTTCCTCAAGACCACAAGCTCGTCAAGGTCATGTTTTCCATCTTCGTGTCGGGTTCTTCGGGCTTGTTCCCTTTCGGTGGATGTGAAGGATGACACGTCTGCTGTTTTTGGCCCGAATGTTCGCGCCGTCGCGTCGAGTCCCGCGCGTGAAGGGACCGACAGGGAACTGGAAATGTACCAGATTACATTTCGTGAACAGTCAGAGGCGACGGAGAGCCTTGCAGTTTTGGATTTTTTTTTTCTGATGAACATTTGTGCGAAATTTCTTGCACCCATTTTCCGCAACAAGTGTTAGTGAAAAAAAAATATTGATTTGCATTATCCCAAACAAATGGTATAAGCTGAGACGAATTTTATTTAATGATAATCATGATGATAGAAAGAGCAATGAGGAAAATGATGGTGGTGATGAGAATGATGATGATAATAATGATAATAACGATAGAATTAATATAATGATTATAATAACAGTAACAACAATGATAATAACAATGATATTAATACTAGTAATAATACTAATGATGATAATAATAATAATAACATTAATCACCTGCAACAACCTAAATTGCCAAATAATTGTCAGTTTTCAAAAAAGTTCCATGCATGAGTTAAAATAATTTCCATCACCTCCTATACTTTCCCTTTCACTTAGCAATTTGCTTAATCTTGTTCGTTCCAGTTGATGCTATGCCATGTTCTAAGTTCGTTGCTCTGATTTCCACTCATTATTGTATGCCATTTTCTATTCTTAACTTTATTTGTTAATCTAAATGTTTGTCTCCACAACACATGTTTGCTTATGTAGATTGACCGATAGATAAATAGGAATGTACACTGTTAGATGTCGATTGATCGATAGATAGGTAGGAATGTACATGTAGGGTAGGGTAGGTGATATCGATAGATAGATAGATATGTAGGTAGGTAGATATATAGATAAGTAGGTAGGTAGATAGATAAATGAGTAGGTAGATGGATAGATAAATAGATAGATAGGCAATTAGGTAGGTAGATAGATAAATAGACAGAGATATGTAGGTAGGTGGTTAGAAAGCCTGGTAGATAGACGGATATAGATGGATAGATAGACAGATAGATAGATAGACAGATAGACATATAGACAGGTAGGTAGGCAGGTGGCTAGAAAGCCTGGTAGATAGAAGGATATAGATAGATAGACAGATAGATAGACATATAGACAGGTAGGTAGATAGGTGACTAGAAAGCCTGGTAGATAGGCAGACGAATATAGATAGATAGAGAGATATATCAAGGAGCTGAAATAGGTAGATACGGAAGCGAAAATGTTTAGCAAAACAAGACGTTATGTTATTCAGTGTCAGGATACAGCTGTTCACCTTAAAAATAATAATTAATGTTGGTGAGTTTCAGTTCTATACTTATAAAAGTACTCCCTGTCCCTGCTTTATCTCTCTCTCTGTCTGAGTGTGTGTGTGTGTGTGTGTGTGTGTGTGAGAGAGAGAGAGAGAGAGAGAGAGAGAGAGAGAGAGAGAGAGAGAGAGAGAGTGTGTTTATGTGTGTGCGTGCGTGCGTGGTCCTTATCGTTTCCATACATTTCATCATCCCGGCAGCCACAAACGATCACGTGGTCATACGCCGCTGTTATCGTTTAATTGTGTGTATTTAAGTGTGACAGCGTTGCGTCATCGAGTCACGCTTCTTATGTAATACATGTTGGGACTTCGATAATGCTATTGTGATTTGAATATAAAAAAAAACAATGGTGTAGGTATAGAAACAGTTATGATTTCATTGCATATTTAACAAAAAAGGTTTGTGTATATACTTTTTTTAATCAAGGGAAAATGAGATCATAACATGGATTTTCTCACCTTTTTTTTCTCTCTTTTTGTGTTCTTACATTGACTTACGAGGCTGTGATAACGTGATATTACTCTCGCATTTCATCTGCATGACATATTTAAATTAGATTTCCTCTATATTCTCGAAAATGACTCAAGGGTATTGGGTCTACCAGGTCTCTATGGAATGCAAACAGGCGCTCATCCATTATATTTGCGTCCGCCAAAATGCATGAAGCTTGATTTTTATTGAGGTCACTTTTATATTCCCTTGTCAGTGGGCGATTGGCTACGGAAAATTAACACGCTGAAACCAACATGACTAGCTTCCGCATTCTATTAAAGCAAAATATAATTCATCATATTTCTTCTAGTCTCCTCAATAGCTCTCTTTCTGAAACGTAAAAAACAGCAGTCGAATTACCACCGAAAGCAATGAACTTCCGAGTGCCAATTTCAAGAAGCAATGTGGCATGGGACTTTGATCAGTATGAGCAGGAGGCATCTTCCTGCTCCTGACACATCCTGTCCATAAGGTGACTAATTGGGCGTAAAACATGCTATATCTGGGATCCTGGATTTGAC